AGTTCAACGTCTGAATCCTGTAATCTGCTATATTCGTACTTGGGCATTTTTTTAAATACTCAGTTTCGGTATTTAACCATTTGAGTCTATATTTTATTAAGTTCGACCCTTGAATGTCAAGGTCACTACTGTATAGTCCTCAATTAGTAAATAGTCAGTAATATTTTAAAAATAAAAGTACAAAACCTAAACACGCAAGTAGTTAAAGAAATAGTTAAATGTCCATTTATTAAAGAATGAAAATCATATTACAAAATAATTCAGCTGTTTCATTTCACTCTTGCTCAATGCTACATGTAAACAAAACAAACCGGCTGATAGAAATTAGTTGTTTGTCTATCCAAACAGCTGTTGCTAAGCCGAAATGGCCGAGTCGCTTTCTAGTCTCTTTTTTTTTTTCCCCGCTTTGTCAGCCTTTACTGAAATGAAACAAAATTACAGTTGGTTTAAAAACATAATACATAATTTCAACTTTTTAAATGCTTCTAGCCTTCCTCCTCCTCTGAGTCCCACAGTGATCGTTAAGACATGGTTCCCAGCAGATCACCGAAGTCAAGCATCACTGGCTGCGGTCAGTGTGCGGTGGGTGACCACTTGGATCAGTCTGCGTAAGGACCAAGGGCGGGCGGTATTGGTCCTCGTTAAACTGTTCAACCGTAAAGTGCTCGACTTCACTTGCAGATCGTCAGGCTACCGAAGTGGGGGTGCCATTCCCTCTGCAGAGGATCAAAATTGTGATGGCATGTCTTCGGATCATCCTCAAGGCTGTTTCCCAGACCGTCGCCAATAGCCCATTGTGCAGCTCCAGTGCGATGTAAATGAACTACAACAACAAATCCTCCTCCTTTGCAACGATTTTCAATCGCAGCCCTCGAATACGCTATCTAGAGAGTCCCCGTTCTCCTTTTTTTCTCAGTTATAACTGAGAAAAAAAGGAGTATATATATAAGGAGTGTATAGTGCGCACAAAAAAACGATTACCCTCAATACCTTTTGATCTAATGATCGGATTTTTGCGTTCTAGGACTCAATCTTATCGGCTCGAGGGGGTGACCTCAAGTATGCTAATTAATGAGTGCAGATGATATTTTAAGTTACGAAATCAGATACAAAAACGTATTTTCTCTGTATAAACTTACCCTTTTTTCCCCGACTGATTCGGATTCCTAACTCTCGAAATATTGGGAGTAGCCGCAATCTGAGAAATATAGTTCCAATAATTTGGTCAAAAGAGCATTTCAAAATTTGAACCCCTAATGTTAATTTTACTTTTTACCAGGGCCAGTCCGAGGTGTAAGTCTGGTAAGCTCTGCTGCGTAAAGCGCCGAGTAAAGGGGGTGCAAAATTGTATCAAGGCTAGATTAGAAGAAAAAACTTTTTAAGATCTTATTTTCCGCTTACTTGTTGAAAATAACAGCTAAAACGCACTTAATTTCGTAAAATAAAATGTTGAAATATATCTAATATTTTTGCAACCAAATAACCCTACAAACCGTTAGCATTGCTTGTATTTTCTCTTTTCATCAAAGCCAATGATATCATGCCTTGCGATAATTTACAATCTGCAAATACAGATGATAGTTGACTAATGAGTTAAATTCAGACGAATATTAAGTTTTTACTGAACGGTTTTTCGAGAATATCCTTTTGGGGCGGGAGAAAATAGACGTGTCTTTGGTAATTTTACCTCCCACTAAGTTCAACTATAAATTTGCCTTGTGAAGGTAGCTACTTTTTCGTAAAGAAACATAGAAAGTTGCAAAGATTGTTGCAATATTGACCTATTCACAAAAATCATTGATACAAAATTTGTAAGAAAAATGAATAAACGAAAAGTGGTTTCTATTTTGTCAGAAAAATTAACAAATTGCTTTGTTAAAAGAAGGGAATAACAGACACGTATTGAATTTCCTAATACACACACAGTGCTTTTAAAGAAAGCACCTATCTCAAATTTTTATTAGTTTCTCAAATTGTAAAAGCAAACAGGTTTGACTTGTTCTTACATTCACTTTTAATTTATTGTTGTAGTTCATTTACGTCGCACTAGAACTGCACAATGGGCTATTGGCGACTGTCTGGGAAACAGCCCTGAGGATGATCCGAAGACATGCCATGAAGTCGAGCACTCCACTGCGGGACTATTCACTTTTAAAGTACTGTATTGATTACTCATTTTCAGTTATTGTAATATTAATTTAAATGTTTTATAATTATTTTATCTTACTTTGTCAGTACATGATTTGTTTAGAATGCTTTAATTTTATGTAAGAAAAATTAAAATCATGACATTGTTTCCCTTTCAATTAGTATAAAATAATGCGAACTTGTAAGATTTTCCTTGATTTTTTTCGAAATTTTTCATTCTATTGCAGTTTCTTTCACTTTTTGGGAATTTAAAATAAATCCAATTTAAATCATTTGTAAATTCTGTAATTTTATCCGATAAATTTGGACCAATCTATTGGTACCATATTTCGACGAAAAAATGTATATTTATTCAGAGCAAGTAGGTTTTTGTGACCGATTTCGTAACTTGAAATATCATCTGTATTTATTATTTAGCATATTTAAGATCTCCCCGTCTAACCATTAATATTCAGTCCTAGAACATGAAGTTCCGATCATCTAGCATTTTGCGTACTATACGTATTTATCGCTTAATAATTCCTTATTTCGATTTGTAGAATTTTACAAAAAAATAAAATACATTTCATTAGTAATTTAAGTGCATTTTTATAAAAAATACAAAAACCGCAGATTTTGACTCATTTTGAAAATTGTATAAATAACATTTATTTTACACCACTCATATTTATTATTATCTTTAATGATTGGAGACGCCAAAAATATTTATTCTTACAACTTGAAAATCAGCTCGCTCTGGATCTGCTTTTTGCGTACTTTATAACTCGAGAACTTTTTAAGTGATTTGAAAATTTTTTACACACAATTATAAAATTAGTTTATCAATGCAAATAATAACTTTTAGTAAATATTTATCATTTTATTTAAGAATGGTAGAAAAAAATTTTAATTGTTGGGCACACAATTTTTTTGCATCATTTTAAAGAATGTAATTTTATACAGCAAAGAACAAAATTTGAGCAAAATCGCTTGAATAATTCCTGAGAAATCGAATTTTAAGTATCTGACTTTTCGTAATTCAATTTCTCATTCATTTCGTAATTCAATGCTCAAGCTTTTTATTTTGCTTGATGAAATTACATTCTTTAAAATGATGCTAAAAATTGTAAACCTTACAATTCAAAATTTTTTTGGCCATTCTTAAATAAAATAATGAATATTTACTAAAAGCTATTTTTTTGTATGGAATTATCTTTGGATAAACGAATTTTATAAATGTGTGTAAAACATTTTAAACTCGCTAAAAGTAAAATTAACATTAAGAGGACCAAACTATTGGGACCACATCTCTCAGAATGCAGCTACCCCTTTTTGGGGGTCAGAAATCGGAATCTGTTGAAAAAAAAGGTATGTTTATTCAGTAAAAGTGTTTCTGTGTCTGATTTCGTAACTTAAAATATCATCTGCACTTATTTATTAGCATATTTGAGGTTACCCCTTCGAGTCATTAAGATTGAGTCCCAGAACATGAAGATCTGCTCATTACATCATAAGTCATTCAGAGTGTAATCAGTTTTTTCTTTGTTTTGGCGCACTGTACTACGATATTTTCGGTATTTAATTGTGAAAAATATTTTTTAAGATTTCCACAGCGCTTTCTTTTAGAACTATGTAGCTTTCAATTCCATATTGGTGATCGAAATGGTGGAAGAGCATAACTCTCTACCTATGACAACACTTCGCATGCTTTCACCACTAGCGTATGGAGAGTCATAGAAGGTAGTACATTAGTTTTTGTCTTTATTTTAACTTAGGAAACTATATGGAACTGAAAACTACATTGAACATAGTTCTGAAAGAAAACATAGTGGAAATTTTAAAAAATATTTTTGACGAGTAAATAAGAAGAGTTTAAAAAAAAAAAAAAAAAAAAAGGGAAACTATCGTAGTGGATTCCTATATAACTGCAAAGTGGAGGAGGGTTAAGACATGGAACCGGTCTTCTTCCCAGATTGCGTATTCGAGCGTTGCGATCGTAAATAGCTTTCCAACTTAAAAGTTTTAAGTCTATTTGAACAAGACTGAAATTAATGCACTTCCTTCTCCTAGGGCTCTTCACATGGGAAGTGTTTGCCATAGGTAGAGTCCTACTCTATGCCACCTGTAGTCCATTTCAATAGCCAATGCTACCCTCTTTCGCATTTAGATTATTAAAAACTATTTTTTTTAACTGATAACTCCAATTCCTAAATAAGAAAAACATTCATAGTATAAGCCTGCCACGGACTTTACATGCAAAACGTACGAATGGGGCACAAAACTTTAAGCTGCAGGGAGATCACCCCTTCAAATATCAGTACACCTTGATCAGAAATATAATTTAAAATGCCCAAAGTGTGCCATACATCATTATACTTTTATAGTGTTAACAATTTACCACGTTCTTTCAATTTAACTTGAAACGAAACAAATCTGGAAGATTTTGCAAGCATATTATGAAATAAACAAATTGATATTTTACACAAATATAGTCAAATAAGAACACTCAAAACATAGCAAAACTTATGCTTGATATATGTTAAGATATTTTCTTAAATTTATTTACAACTCACGACTGAGTTAATTAATTCTAAAAATTTAGGAATGGTAAAATAATGTGTAAATTTTAACACAAATGATGAAACTTTCTAGAATATCAAGAGTGTTCACACATTGTCTTGTAAACATAACATTAGCAGAGGAATACTAAAGAAGCTTGTTATTGTTTACATTCATTTATCCATCCATAAAAAGTAATTATTCCACCATATAGCGTTGCAGTAATGTTATAATGAAAACAAGAATATTTTCACGAGATTTATTTTTAATAAATGTAAACAGGTGCATGTAATTTACAAGTGAAAAAAAAAACATTAAAAAAGAAATTTATTTATTTTGATAACAGTGTTAAAGATTACAACCTTATTTCCACGTTAAAACAAAAAATTTTATTAAATGCTTCGATTAACAAGCTCTACAAGCTAATTTAATGGCTTTTGAAGTACGCTTTACTTCCCTCAGGATCAGGTTTCATTGTTGCATCTCCAGGCTTCCAACCAGCTGGACAAACTGAAATAGAATGTCAAGTATTTAATAATCAAACAAGGAATGCATTCTATTTAAAATTAACTTAATTCCTTTTTGCTGACATTCTTTCTTCATTATAATTCCATACTATTAAAATACTCCTCATTAACAGCAACAATTTATAAACCTTTTTACCCATTAAGTTTATACCCATGTCTTCAAGAATACCACAGAGAATTTAGAAAGGAATTTTTATGCAGAACCATTTAATTTTTTACAAAATATTAATAAAATGTTCTAAAACAAAAATATTACTAATAAGTGTTAGCATAAGGCTTAACTAATACACCAAACCCTGCAAATTTAAAGTAAAAAAGAAAAGGTCTACTTAAATAGACAGGGGCGAAAATAATAGGAATGCATTGCATCCGGGTCTAGGATCTGCAACAATCGTAGGGTGCTCTGTACGCTATCATAGAAAAAACTACTTATTTTAAAGAGATGAAATGTTTTAATGAAATAAACAATTTTTAAAAGCAGCAGTCTTACAGGTACTTGCAATTGATACCATAGAATATTCTGTTTATTGTATTTTTGTGCTATCATAGAAAAAACTACTTATTTTAAAGAGATGAAATGTTTTAATGAAATAAACAATTTTTAAAAGCAGCAGTCTTACAGGTACTTGCAATTGATACCATAGAATATTCTGTTTATTGTATTTTTGTGTCAGTTACTTGTTCTCATCATTGCTCTTTTGAACAATACAAACATAAGAGGTATGCTCCATATAGTTACTTCAAGCAAACCTTTTGAAGGTAGACTTAAATTTCCTTCACATTCCTTCAATAAATAAATAGTTTCTCAGAATAAGGTGAGTCAAAAGAAAAATACAAATTTATTTTTAAAATATCAGTATTTTCCCATTTCCTTTCGATTTCAGAAAATGTTATTTATTGGCTTCATACCAGCAATGAAAATTTAGTGGTCAAGTAGGACTACCTAGTTCTTCATTTAGTGGTCCAAAATATTAATATGGTAGACAAACTTTAGACAAATCAAACTTTACAATTACATAATTCATGCTAAGGTACACATCAAAAATTATTGCCATCTATTAACATCCTACCACTAGTTAGGTTCATTAGCCCATAATGATTGAAGATTAGTACTTATAATAATTAGTATTTACAATTCAAAATAAATATTAACAAATAATTTGTCTGTATGTAATTTACTAAAAATCATATACAGATAATTTATTTAGATAAGTATATTAACGTAAAAAGATAAATTAGGCAAACTTATTACATTAATAAATTGATTAAATTTAAAATATTCTTAAAATACTTATCTAAAGAATTCATTCAATCATTCTTAGTTTTTTCTATGCACCCAAAATAAAATAAATTAAAAAAAGGTTATTCAAGATGTAACTTAACTGATTATAAATATTTTTAACCCATTGGTAGTTCTGCACACAGAAAGTATATATTTTTTAAATTCTACCAAATAAGCATGCGCAGCAGAAAATCTTACTCTATTTTCTATTTACAAACAGCTCTGCATTTAAAAAAGAGCTTCAATTTTTTTTATGTACCCAAAAACCTACCTAGAAATACATGAAAAATGACCATTAGTCTTCATACCAAAATTTCTATCGAATAGGGAGAGAGGAGGAAGATTAACTTGAAAGTTATAAAGTGAACAATGTGAGGCAGTAAAAATGAAAACGTCAAAAACTGCCAGTAGGTTAGAGAAAACCCTTTGTTCATAATGTTACTCAAATAAATAATCTCTTTAATATAAAGTTTGAACTTAGGATTGGAAGTTTATATTCTTCATCTGAATATTTTCAATCCAGTCAAAATCAGATTCCAGGAATTGTTTAGAAAATTGATGTCAAACAAGGTAATGTCAAGTTTGTCAACAGAAGTAACAAAAAAATTAAGTTGATTATTTTACTTTAAGCAACAAGGGTGATATTTTTCTCTTCATAACAATCTCTCTTCTTAGCTTCTATAGTTGCTACAAGTTCATCACAATTTTGCCTTTTAACAGATTTCACTTTATTAGTAGAGAATTCATTTAAGTGCGCTAAACTTTTATTTCCTGCAAGGAAAGGAAAAATTTGGGGGGAAAAAATTATGGTACTCATAAGACTAAAGAATATAAGATATTGAAAATGTCAGATTTTATTAATGTTTAAATTTATAATATAAATTTCTTAAATTAGTAACTGTTAAATTGAAGTAGATAAGTAACTTACAAATATACAATGCTTCGTTTGGTATTTTGAAACTAATTTTTTTATTCTATAGCACCTCATCATATTTAAAACAAATCTCTGCTAATGTTACATTTGCCAAATGTGCATATCATGTGAAAAATATTTAGCTCTTTATCTTTTAAACTTGTTTACTAAGATTTTATAAAGTGTTAATTTTAGTTTTTGAAATAAGTTTTGTAAACTCAAGCTGTTTTACTAAAATACAAGATTAATTTTTATAACCCGAAGAGATTAAAATTTAATTAAGGAATTTATGAAATTTGGTACACATAAAATACTTTAAGTTAGTTTTTTTGTTTAGTTAAAAAGACTCAAGTTCTAAAAACAATTTTACAGAAAATCAAAAAAACTTTAAAAAAAACAACAAACCATTAATAAATTTAACATTAGTTTAGATCCTTATATTCATTAATTAGAAAACTTGAACCTGTAACTTAAATAATTTATCAAGATAAAATTCATATACCTTCTCCATGTTTGTCTGTGAATTGGAATGCTTGCACAAGTCTTAAAGTCTCATCAACAGAGCGGCCAACAGGCAAGTCATTCATCGTAATTTGGCGTAGATTTTGTTTCTCATCAATGATGAAAAGACCACTGAAATTCAATAAAAGATTTTATAAAACAAGATTTTTAACAATGTGCATAAGTTTATTATTAGGTATAACAATTCCCAAAATTAAATTACTTTAAAACTTTCTAGCAGCAATGTGAGCTAAGTGCCTACATATTAAGTGCTTGACTGACACAATACCTGATCAGTCATTTTCAACGTAGGGACAAATGCATTCATAATTGATATTCTCTGAACTAAGTTATAAATCTAATAATGTGATTCATATAGTACATTTACATACAATATTTAACTGAGTGTGTATGAATGCTGTATTTTAAGATTACTTAAACATTTAAAAAATTGAAACAAAGGCAGTTAAATCAATTCTGTTTTACAAGAGGCAGTTAAATTAACTGAAAAGCTTCTGTTAATGCAATGAGCTTTTTGTTCGAAAAATGTATATCATAAATTTACAATATAAATTGTCAATGTCATTTCTTTCGCGAATACCACTAAATTTGATTTACACAACTTACACATTGCACTAAACTTTAATACTTAGCATAAAAAATACATAAACTATCTAAAGAACTTTCTGCAACATGAGGAATCTTAAACCATTTAATTAATCAGTGATGATTGTAACAAAGTGAAAAACTAAAAATTTAATATATAAAAATTAGATCAATTTATACACCAAACATAATTTACAAATAGTTCAGGAAAATGTTTTGTACTTTTTGAACTACGATTCATATTTTAATTATCTACCAATGATACACCTCACACCTTTATAATAACTAATATAATAAAAACAATTGTTCTCAAAAAATTTAATTGAAAATGTTCTCAATTTGAAGAGAAAATTCAATAATATGTTTAAAATTTGATTAATCAGTTGATTAAAAAACAGTTTCAATAGTTTTGACATGAAAATTCAGTATTGTAGCAAACATTTTGTCAGAAGTAAATTTTTACAAGGTACTTAAATTTATTTATAAATCAAATAATAAAGATATAAATTAAAAAATTTTTGAAATTACAAATCTGAACCATATTTTTTTTAAACTACATTTCCTAAATATTAAATAACTGAAAGGCCCTAAATTTACTTTATTTAAATAAAACATCTTGCATTAAGAGAATTAAAGTTTCTTTCTTTACATCTACAATATAACGCAACAGTACTGAAAAGTTTTGACAAATCAAGTAAAATAAAAGTACAAAAAGCCCGAAATGCTTAGTACATTTAGTAGACAATTCCTCAGGTTCAGACTCTTGTGTTAATAAAATCCTAATTAATTCAGATCTTCATTAAATGATCAGAATGAACACTAAAATTTTAAATGTATGAGGCTCTTATTGTTTTGTCTTGTATCCGTATCATGGAAGATATTATCGCATTAAAAAAATTACATTTTGTAATTGTTTAAAATAAATTATGTTAAAGACACTGCAGTATGTAGCAATAACTGCCACAAAAAGAATGGGACAACAAAACCAAGAGGATTTACAATTAAATCAGGGGAATTGGAAGACTCCAAAAATGACTACTCAAATGAGATTGAAAATTTGCATGTTGTCACAGATATATTAAGAACATCAAAAATGGACAAATTTGATATGAACTTCATGTGATGTAACAATATCGTATGATAAATTCCAAGACTTTGTTTAAAATTATCTTAATTACAAATAAATAGTAGTTGCTGGCATATATGTAGGAATTATAAGACATCTTACAAAATAATTACATATTTTTAAACTCTAGTTTAATGTTTTGATAAGTATTCTATGTTCAGAAAGATATGAAATAAAATTTTTAAGATAAAATGAAATCAATGCAAAATCCTTATAAACCAAAATATTTCCTATTGTTTATAATTATCAAAAGATTTAAACAATTAATACTATTTAAAATACAAAAACTCAATTAACCGGAATGTAATGCCTGCATCTTCTTTATAAACTCCATAGGCTTTGGAAACTTTACAACTTTTATCAGCTAACAATGGAATATTCATTTTTCCCAATCCACCTTCTTTTCGTGGTGTGTTGATCCTGTAATATAAGATTCATTTAAAACATAAAACTAATTTACATTAAATTTTGACATGTTTAAAACTAAGAATTTATCCAAATGAAAAATTTCATGCATTGTACAATATAATTTAAAACAAACTTTAATGCCCACAAATATTATTGTATACAGCTAGCTAGAGGTAAACAAAAATGAAAGCTGTTAAAAATCACTGTACTTATTTTTATAGGCACTTTAGTTTGCAGATATGTCGAAACACTGCTTGACATAGGTCACATATACATGACAATACTATCGTATGGAATATTTAAATTAGACATTTATTGGTCATAAGACTCATTGTTTGTGATGACAACTTGGAAAAGCAAGTAATTATGTAAATTAAGAATTCTTGCTCTGGAATACTTGACACATAGGAAATTTTAATATTAAAGAAAAAGGGAAGTTTTTAAGTTTGAAATCTCATCTAATAAATATACAAAATATTACAGAATGCTATTTGTATCAATTCTAATAAAAACAAAAAGCAGTATTTAATAATTACTGAAATTTTTTAAATTCTAAATTTCAGGCAGTTTCTTGCAGAAAGGTTAATGACAGTACTTTCTAAGACAGCCTGAAAACTGCAAACCTCAGAAATTCAAAAGGCTTGAGAGTTTGTGACCATTGCACAACGTAAGAATCAATTTTAAATTCTTATTCTTTATAAATTTACATAAGTAGCTTTTGCAACAAAGAGTAGCCTTTACAAAATAATAAATTAACCTATTTTAAAAAACAGATGGAGTGACTAACTTAATATTTTTTAAAAATGCTTAAGAATTTGTCTACAAGAGTTCTGTTACAAGATTGAATTTTGTAAGGTCGAAACTATAAATAGCCAGAATGGTTACCAAAGACAGAATGGTTCATAGTGACAGTGCAGTCATTGACTTTATACTATTTAACATAATTCTACTAAAAAAGAAAAAAATCTGTTCTAAAGAGTCATCTCATTATAAAGCACAATAGCATTAAAATGGCTAAAAAAACTTTTGATCTGGAGGAAAGTCTTAAAGGCTATATACAAACTGTTCATGGAACACTGATTCTTATACCGATTAGAAAAAGTCTGAAAATACTTTGGTAGCCTGAGGTTGGAAACAAAAACCTGAAACTCTGGCTTAAAGCAAGGAGTTTGCCTGTCTAGTCTATTTAGAAAACAAATGCTCTTCATAAATAAAAAACAATACTCTTTTTATTTTAGGAAAAGAAATAAAAAATTCTTAGTAGTAGATTTTAACTCCCATAATTCTTTTCCTGTTATGTCAGTATTAAATATTGTTTTCAAGTTCATTTCAATGTTTTAATTTTTTTTTCTTCAAATAATTTCTTAAACAGCTAAATTAGTACTTTTTAAAAACTGAAATTTTCTATACTTTTAGACTAAAGAAACCAGCCTGTTTTTTTCTTCTAATTTTTAGAGTATTCAGATACATTAATAACTGAATGACCTTAAGACAATTTTATTAAAAATTATGATTGAAAAAAAAAGAAAAGGTTAATATCTTTCTCATAATCTTTACCATGCTAAATGAGAAAAGTGACTGTCAGTTGAACAGGCTACAACTTCACAATTTATCTTCTTGAATTCTTCAACTCTATCAGAGAAAGCTATTATTTCAGTAGGACAGACAAAAGTGCTGAAAAAATAATAAAACATATGAAAAACCTTGAATTTTATATTTCTTCTTTTACTATGAACTATACTACTTACAAATCTAATGGATAGAAAAACAGAACTAGGTATTTTCCTTCATAATCACTAAGCTTAATATCCTTGAAAGCACCATTTATTACAGCAACACCTTGGAAATCTGGTGCAGGTTTAGTTAATTCAGGAGCCATTCTGAAAAATTAGTATTTACATATTACATGTCTAAAAATCTTAGAACTTATATGATAATTTATGATTAACAAGAATAAGATCACAATTGCATATTATATGTAGATTTTCTTGAATAATTTAGATGAAAAATAAATATTACCACTTCAAATATAATATGCAGTCAGAAAAAAAAAATTCAAGGATCTTATAAGATTAAAAGATCTTTTAGTACATGCAATGAGTGGTTTGTTATTTGACCACTCATTGTGTCATTATTTTACTCATTTTATATTGTGTTCAAATTTAACTAAAATTAATTAATGCAGCAATTTATTTATTAAAGCTAAGAAAATAAAATAAAATTTTCAATAATTTAAAACACTGTTTTTTAACTTTTAAAATCATTATATATAATAAAATCAATTGATTTAAATCAATGATTTAGAAAAAAAAAAAATCCTTTGATTTAAATCAACAAACCCTGATTAATATAACTGAGATCACCTCCTCTATCCATTAACATAGCATCAAAGTTAAGACTCATTTCAAAAAACAGTCAATATAACAATTTTTATATCAAATTCAGTTTTCAAATTTCTGTGAGTAATTCGTTACAAGTTTATTGACTAGTTTGAGCCATGAACCCTTATAGAGAAATATTTAAAACAGCAAATTAAAAAATTTGTATTTCTGTTATAGCTGTAAAAACAAAACAAAGGATACAACTAAACTATCTTAAAATATTTCGCTCGATTATTAGATTCAATTAAACAAAATGACGCATGCTTATTTTATATAGGCCTAAAATTTGTTTATTTAATCTTTGTAAATCAAGTATAGTAAGCTTTGTATGCCAAGATTTAATCAATTTTCATTGAAATAAAAATAACAGAGGATACAGCTGTGCAATTGAAAAAATAAAACAAAACAATGTAAGCGCTTTACAATACATTTCAGAGAAAAGTTGCTTGACATGCTAATGCTATGAAAGCTATAATAGAATTTCAGTAAAATGATATATAATTTTTGAAAAAAAATTTTTTTTCTAATATGCAGCTTACAATACAGAAATGCCAAATATATAAAACTCTCAATTTTTGTAGTTTTTGTCTATATTTTTTAATTGCACGACAGAATAGAACAGAACACGAATAAAACTAAAACAAAAACTGGTCGAGACATATAGAGAAAATGTCCCAATATATCAACCAAGACATAAGAGCGCATGCCAATTAATGTTACAGTAGACTTTACATAAGAAATTTCAAAAAATATTTATATATTTACTTGCAGAGAAAGTGAAGTACAATTTCAATAAATCTTACTCTTATGTAACGCACTCAATGAAAAATTAATGAAGCTGAGAAATAAACCGCGCCGGTAGATTACTGCGGGCCTTTTTATATGATTGTTTAATACTTTCATTTCAAAAAAAAGTTTAATTTGACTGTAATAATGATATAAAAATTAGTTTTTTTAATTTTAATGCCTGTATAATTTATAAAACAAATGAAATACTAACTAATTAGATGGTGAATAAAAAATAATTTTTCTCGATACTACTACATTTCCTATTGGCGATCGCAACACTCGAATACGCCATCTGGGGAGAGACCGGTTTCATGCCTTTAGCCCTTCTCCCTCCCCTCTCCTCCTCTTTTCAGTTGTATAGGAATGTACTACGATATTTTCCCTTTTCTTAATATTTTTCCTTTTTATTCAATAAAAATATTTTTCAAAATTCCCGTGATACTTTTCTTTAGAACTATGTTTAATGCAGTTTTCAGTTCCATATAGTTTTCCAACTTAAAGGATTTTAATCTATATGAAAATCAAGAGAGAAACTAACGTACTTCCAACCTCTATGACTTTCCACACGCTAATGGGGAAAGCATGTGAAGTGTTGCCATAGGTAGAGAGTTCTGCTCGACGCCACCTGCAGCCCATTTCGATCGCCAATCTTTTATTAATTAAAATCTAAATAAATCTTTATTTAATCCCATACAAATTTCAATTCCAATATTATACTGGTATATAAATATTTTTTTTTTGCAATATATTTCTTTTATGATTCAGATTTATATTTACAGTCACTTTACTTGATAGTTAGATTAAAGTTGTACTTTTTGGATCTCGTGAAATGTTCTTAACGAAAAAACGGAATAAACAACATTTTTTTCTTTCTTTTGATTCGTTTAAAAGACAGTTTTCAACTGAATCAACTGTAATAGTACATTTTGACATGTTTAAACTACGCTTCAGAAGTGTAAACTGAGTAAACGTTTTGTACCAGGTAGACGGTCGAGTTAGTTTAAGGACTCATCAATATCCAAAATATCAAATATATAAATATTTTGTGGTTAGAGCTTGGGATATTACTGTTTTGATTTCTATTAATTACTGATTAAATACATATAAAAATGGCTATGACTGATGATACTGAACAAGTAAGCAAGTTACAACTGACTGAACCTTGAAAAATAATTGTTTTAAATATATATTGTTGATATAGAATGTGAATGGTTCTGAGGATATCCCTATTTCCCCCCTCTAAATTTCATTTTATAACAAAATAAATGCTATGTCTCTTCATGCAATCGAACGTTTGGAGAAGTCAAGTAGTGAGGTTCAGTTTGTTAAAAATCATAAAACGATAAAATTCTACAGAGAATGCTTAAATACTGATTCATGAACTATATTTAAGGATTGAAATAGTTATCAAATGATTTTTAATTGATCTGTCGATGATTTTTGGAGATTGAACCATTCCTAGATAAATCAATTAGTTCTTGAAAATTCTCTTGGGAGCATTAGCTATCAGTACCCTCTTGTCCCATTGTTAATTCTTTTAGCCTACATGTACTTCTGGAGTAAGGAAGATTTCCATATCAGTAGTTAAAATTATTGCCAAATTCGGCTGCAACCGCGCTCTGGGCAGTGAGAAACTATGAAAAACCCATGCAAGTGAAATTTTTAGCAACTCCTGAACAAGCCAATATATATATATTTTTAACTTATTTCAAGCATGACAGTTAGCAGTTTCAGTTGGCAGAAACAAGTGCTAATGAAAAAATATCTTAAACACACTCCCAGAGTATATTTAATCCAATATACACCGAATTCATCTTTAAAATTTGATTAATGAATTGTTCGTATAGATCTAGGATGCACCATCTGTTGCTGGTGGCCAAAATTGGCCCCTGTAGTCCTGAACAGTTTTAATGTTAAAAAAATATATAAAAGTAAACTATTTAATAATAAAATGTAAAAATTAGGGGGAAGGAACTTTTTTTTTTCATCCTTGAGGGGGGAAAATTCAGCTCTATTAGAATTTTTTTCTACTTTTTATTGATGATCCTGTTCTTTTATTCACTTATAATCTTAGTGCAAGCCTGAACTTGATTATAGCAATTGTAATATTTTATTTATGCCTATGAGTTCAATATACTTGCAAAAAATTTAATTATTTATGAATTTTGCACGTTAAGTAAAGTTACATGAAATGCGTAGTACTTATTGTGGTTTCATTGATCTTTTTCTTTGAAATAACAAGAATTAGATTGATCATTTTAGGATTGCTGTTTAATAAACAGTAAAATGAACCTTAGAAAATGTGTTAATACACTATATATATTGTATTTAAGAACGGCATTATTACATAATATTAAAAAATTCAGTCTAGTATGTGCTTGATAATTCTTATTCTCTCAGTGATCTAGGAAACTAGATATTCAGAATGATGTTGGTCCTACCTATTCTGTCTAATTCATCCTCTACTGTAAATTTAAATTCTGAGCTAAGTAATATTACACTCATTTTTTTATATGTTTTCTTTAGTCAGCTGCAAATGCTGTAGAAGAACCTTTGGATTTGATTCGCCTGAGTTTAGATGAACGCATTTATGTGAAGATGAGAAACGAAAGAGAATTAAGAGGTAGATTACACGTAAGTCTGCATTTTTTATTTTTAAAATGACTGAAAATAACAAAAATGTTATTTAATTATGAAATTTTGTTAGTTGCTACTTTTTGCAGCCAGCTGGCTCACCTTTTAACTGTGCCTGCTGCTGGGCTAAAAAAGGATTTATAATTTATTCTGTTGATACTATTTGATTTCTGAATTACTTTAATTAAAATGTGTTTCATTATTGCATTTTTTCATTTATATTAAATTTTATGTTTGCATCATCCCATGAGTACTTTATTTTATTTATTTAACTAAATGTAGTGCTTCTATTTCCTATTAAACAGAATGAAAAGGGAAGACTTCATGTTTAAATTTCAAGTTTTTTAACCACTTGTTTTCCTTAAAATGCTACAAAGTGGCGAAATTTTAGTATAAAGATATTCTGTTAAAGCATGGTTCAAGAAGGGTCCATACAGTGTTCTCCTTAAGTGCTTTTTGAAGGGTGGCCTGCCGAGCGTGGTCATTGATCCAAATGCGCCTCCCTTGCTCTTGTGAAAATAAGCTGCCATATCTTAAAAACACTGACTTTTTATTTTATTTTTCAGGAAAAGGTTGTTTTCCTAACCACCTGTTTTAATGAAAAGTCCACTTCTGATTTATTTAGTCTTTGATATTTATATTTATTTAACTTTTATTTTTAATTTCATTCCTTCATTTTAGTAAGATTTTTCTTATGTTGTCTTGTTAAATAATTAAAATTTGCATGATATTCAGATCCAGAGATATTCACATCTTCTATTTGGAGGGAGTGTATATTAATGAATTTTTTCGTGATTTTAAATTTTACCATTATTTTTTAATATAAATGTTTTCTCATTTTCAGTTTAAAATATAAAAAATAAGCTTTAAAGTTGTTCATAAATTAATCTTTTTTTGAAGTAAGTTTATATGCAGAGATTGTCTTTAAGCTTGCCTTTCATTATTTTTCGAAAGCTTCAAATTTTTCTGTTATTTTGATAATGAGTTAAAATTACTCTGTGAAATATACATGTATCATAGTACTGTGAAATTACACGTAACATAGGTAATTTAAAAAATTCAGGATCAAATTCAGCCTATTACATGATGTTACATATTTTGATATATTTAACAGTGTTAAGTGAGCGCCCTTTCAATACTCAAAGTGCCTCTTTCTGTGAAGAAACACCATGCCCTTTTTTATTCCTAGGGAGAACTCTGGTTCTTATATATGATCATGAGACGATGATTTGTGTGAAAGTTTTAAATTGAGCTATTAGATGAACATATTTACGAACAAAGTGGATCATTGTGCTACATTAACGTAACTTTCGTAGACGAATAATAAAGTCTAAAAATTTCATAATGTTTTGTCTGACACGGGTAACTTAAGGGTAAAGCTGAAGCTCAGCAACTTACTCACCTACATGCTATTGATAAGTAACATAATAGGAGAGAGCGCTGTGATGCAAAGCACCAACCAGTGTCTTTTACACCAAGAAAACTAGTCTATATTTTTCAACCTATTAGAAGAGTGTAACTATCTAAAAAATTGGTAAAGAATTCGAATCACATAGAATTAATAATCAAACTACAGTCAAAGGCTTTGTATCTTCCACAAAGTGTAAAACAATACACTGTCATTGTGTTGCGCATAAAGCCATACTAAAACTTATCAATTAGAATTAATGGTGCAGGGAAAAAAATCAAACAAAAAAAAAAAAACTCTCCTGTAATGAAGGTCTTGTCACCTTATCTCATTACTGAAGATCAAAAGAGTAAAATATCAAAGCTTCTGTCTATTTTTTTTTATTTATTATTTTTTTAGAGCAAGATGTGAAGTCTGTGTTGTAGAGGTTACTTGCCTGACTAAAAAATCCCATCTTTCCAAAATAGTGAAGACTATAAATATGTAAATTATTCAATGAAAGGTTTTATTTATTATTTATTGTCTTTTAAAATCTTCTACAACATTCCTCTATGTCCTGCTATTTCCATTTTTAAGTGTACATTAGCTATTTCAAGGAGAAACAACAGTTACATTGTCCTCTATATACAAGAAGTCTTTTAAAAAAGCTCTTTGACTGGCTCGAATAATTTAATTTAAATTCTTCTTTGCTGATAATGCAACGGTACTTGTAATGATGCAAAATAAGAATTAGTGGTAGTAAGTTCTAATAACTGGCACAGCCAGTACTAAAAGTACCAGTTTGTTTACTGATGTTTGCTATAAACTAGATATTGGTCTAAATTACCATATTATCCTAAATTACCAAAAGAAAGAAGAAAAAAAAGGTGAAGTTTTTATTATTGAAAAGAACAAAAGTATTGAGAGTAATCTGTTATCTTGAAAGCAGTTGCTAGACAATTTAGAATAATTCATTGGAAAAATGATACCATATAATTACTTAAATATGTATCTTGCACAATTATATTGTACTATAATAATACAGTTGTCAAAAATCAATTAATTTAAACATCTGTATTTAACCTAAAGATATATGGAAGGGCTTCAGATTTTCTATAGCTTATTCAAGAATAATGAAAAAACTTTTGAAATTTTTTTAGAAGTACAATCTTTTTCTCAATTTATAAATAACCCATTATTTTAATGACATTTTGTTCCAATTTGTAAGCATATAATAAGTTGTCCCTTATTTTTTACAGATAGATGATCTTATATTTTATTCAATATATAAATTTTAAGTTACCTTTTTGTTACTTTTATAAACCTCTGAATATTTAATTAATAAACATTTAACTTCAGGAAAAAATGTTAAAAAATTTATTCTTTAACTGAATAACCAGTGAGTCTTTAGGCAGAATTGTACTGAAATTTATCTGTTAGACGGTAAATTGCACTACCTCCATGTTTGACAGACATAACAGCACTGATTTCTGAACTTCATGTTTATTTATGATTCTAAGCTATTAAAAAAATTACATGTATTTGTTATGATATGATAGTTTTGTTAAAACTATTTAATCTTTTTTTATAGGCATACGATCAACATTTGAACATGATTCTAGGAGATGTTGAGGAAACTGTTACAACTATTGAAATTGATGAAGAAACATATGAAGAAGTTTATAGAGTGAGTTTATATTTAATTATTTTAACCTATTCACATTTTCTGTACAATTTATCTCTAAATAAGTATGTCTGTTTCTTAACTTCCTTTTTCAAACAGATAATCAAATGCTTTAATCTAGAGGTGCACAACCTGCGGCTTGCCAACTGTTGATTTGACGGCCCACAGTATCTTCTGAACAAAATGATATTTTTTTAAAAAAATTTTAAAAAAAACAATTCGAAAATTTTAAATTGCATATTTGAGTTATTACTTTTTGATTTGCTCAATTTGCACAGATTCTATTGTAAAAGTATGACGTTTTGCAATCACTTTTTTAACGGTTATGTATACGAACCCGCCATAGTCCATAAAAATATTTTTTTGCTCTAAACAGGGTTGGCATGGTTTAAATCAGTGGTTCCCAACCTGGGGGCGATAAGAGTTTCTCAAGGGGGCAATAATCATTAGGGGGGCGATGAGTACTCAAAAGATAAAAATTGCTAATAATATTAATAATAAAAGCTATTTGAGATTGAAATTGAAAATATATATGAAACCTATGGTTCTGGTGTAGACAAAGAATTATGATAGATAAAAATTAAAAAAAATTCAAGTGCAGGATCGTTTACGTCATATGTTTTGGTATCGCAGGCGGAAATCTGATAAGTCACTCTGTTCGTCTGAGCAATAATACTGTTTCCAGGCATATTGATGAGATGGCCGCCGACATTGAATCAAAACTCATCAAATTTCTGAAAGAAGGTAAATTTGCGTTGCAGATTGATGAATCAACTGTGATAGATAACAAAGCTGTTTTAGCTTACGTGAGATTTATAAATGATAGTAAGGAGATTAACGAGGAAATGTTGTTTACAAGAACTTTGTACACAGATACAAAAGGATCGTCGATTTTTAAATTGGTCAAAGATTATTTNATTTTACTAATTTATACGTTTCAAGAGAATTATTTTGTTAGAATCGATGCGTATTCTGTAGAAATAATTTACAGTAGCTGTTAAAATTTTACTTCTTCTGATTTGTGTATTTTATTGGAATAATAAAGACAAATTTAAAATCTATTTTAAGTCAGTTTCATGAACCACAAGAAAATTGGTGTAAATCACTTGCGTGCTGCAAATTTTCACTGTCTTATACAACTATGAAAAGTCTTGCTTCAAAATATATCATTTTTTGTCTTTGTAAATACTAACGATTACCGAGTTCGCAACTATCCAGCCTTTATACTATCCAATCTAGTAAAGATTGAGGAAAGTTTCTGCCAGATACTAATAAAACTCGTTGAATAAGGAATGCTAAAACAGTCATCTGCTACTCCTAGCCTGTTGAGTGCTGTAAAAACTGTATAGTTTGACTCTTTCTAGTCTCATATTTGTATAAATTTATGTATGAAAAGTAAGTATTTTTACTTGAATAATTTTTTCTTATACTGTGTAACATATGTTTTTAATTATTTGGGAGAAGAGGTAGGAAATGGAACGTCTTTCTATAGTACTTTCTTGTTATCTAGTCTACCCTTTTGTCACAGACAGTAGAGAGCTTACTCTACTTCTAATTTATACAGTTATAAATTAATGCATGTTACATTGAAGTTTTTTTCTTTTTTAGACGACCAAGAGAACAGTACCAATGCTATTTGTTCGAGGTGATGGAGTTATTCTCGTATCTCCTCCCATTCGTGGAGGAATGTAACAAACATTTGTAAAAAAAAATAAAATATTAAAAAACCAGTTATCAAAATTATTATTTAAATATATAACACCACACTACAGATGTTTAATTTACTAAACACAAATCATGGTTCAATTTTAATATTAACTAGTAATTTTTAATGATGGATATTAATTAATGATAATTAGAGCCCTGATTTTGCTAACCTAAAAAATCCTTAAAAATAGCAACTAAAAAAAAAAAAAATGGCCTAAAAACATTACTAATGCTTACAAAAATTCCCTTGTAATTAAATATGAATTTCAATTTGTAACACCATTTCTTTCATAAACATACTGCATATAATTGCAATAAAACATATAAAGAGAAATTTAGATGCAAATTTTTATTTTAGTTTGAAGTATATGTTAAAAACCAAATCATTAGAAAACAAAAGGAAGGAAAATTTTGATATGCATACTTTGATTCATACTTGAAAACTTCAATTTTGTGAAATTACATGAAATGAAAGTTGAATTAGATTATTAAATGCTTCTTGATATTTCCAAATGTGAAGGAAGCTTATTTGTCCGGAAGTACAGTTGTTCCTAGAGTTATCTTGTATTCCAATGATTTTGTTTTGTTACCTACCTACAAAGTTATTTATGTTTATCATATTATCTCCTTTTAATGGTAAACAATAGCTGTCTTTTTTCTTGGTAACTGAAATGAATTAATTGTATAACTCAGTTAAAACTTGTAAAAGGCTATAAAAAAACAGTAAAAAAAATATTTTAAAATAAAAAAATCTTGCCCTAAAACGGAAAGAAAATATCCTAAATTCCCAAGAAATGACTTAAAATTTTTTTTAAAAAGTACCTTGAAAAAGCAAAAGAATTCAAAAATGCATAAGTCACTGAAATACAGGCCTCAGTGATAATTGACATTTTATTTTAAACTTTAGAAGCACTTTCTTTGTTTTCCTAAAATTAAATATGAAAAATATAGGAAAACAAAAATCTTTTACCTGAATTCAAAATTTAATAGATCTTGAACTGAATTGAATTAGTTCAAAGGATACAATGAAGTCATTTGAATTAATATTAAAAAAAGCTACTTCATTGCTGTAATTTCAATCATTCATCTGAGTTTAACATTTGGTTTTGTGGGATGTTTGTGCATATCTGTTCAAATCAAAAATATCTGCTATTCCAGTAATTGTGACACATAAGATTCGAAATCATTTTAAAATCCCAATTTTACCAACTCGTTGATCGCATATGAGTAATCACCTTTCGATTTCCGACCACATTAGTTCGATTTTGCTCTTTTTTCCATCGTAAATCCATATAGTTTTCAATCAAAATTCCGCTGTCATGGATATTTTAACGTGATTTTTTAATTCCTATTTTTTCTTAAGATATTATTACTAAACGTAAAATGAGAAATTTCGGGAATACGTGGATGAAAAGAAGGAAAAAAAATCAGTTGTATTCATTTCTCAGACAGTTTTTTTAAAATGAATATTAAAAAATGTCAGATTGTAATTAAAAGTTTAAAATTATAGTCGCCACTTAAAAATTATTGTTCGCCAATGGTAACCATATTTCACGAGCCTTAGTCACAATTGAAATAAGTGGGACTAGTGATGTTAAGTTCATAGTCTTATGATCTTGGATAGCATAGTTTTAATATTTCACACATGGTGGATTGTGCATACTCCCTTTAATTCATATTTTGCAGTAAATATTTAGTTATATGAACACATTTTGGGGTTTTACAACAAAATAATTATTAATGATCATCCTGTATCCATGTATGTAATCTAATTTTTAACAAAAAATCTTTTACTATAAACCACTATTTTTATTTTAGCTATATTTTTTTAAAATTTTACAGAACCTTTTAAACAATTTTTTAACTTATATATTTAATTTAAGATGTTATGTTTCAACAAAAAATATTTGTATTGAATTAGATAGCTGAATCAAAATACATTGTTTTATGAGAATTTTATTTTTGTTTACACGCAAATAAATAAAATATCATGTAATTTTTTAGGATTTCAATATATTTAAAATCAGTCCTTAGTCTTCTGACTCAAAATTTTTAACTATTTCCATTCTAAACAAGCAAAGATTCTTTTTCGAACAAAAAAGAGGAAAGTTGCATTTTTTTTAAAAAATATATTTTTGTAAAAACTTCTCAATTACATCATATTTTAAAGTTTAAATAATAGAAGAGTTTTATAATTTTCATTTTAATATTTTCACACTTCATTTCTCTTTTCTCAGAACCAAACTCAACATTGAGAGAATAAACAGAAAAAGATAAATATACATTAAATTGTTTTTATTTAATTTTCACAAATAAACTAACATTTGAAACAATTAACATACGAAGTTGTTCCCCATTCAGCATGGAAGAGTTATAAAATAGGGTTCTCACAGTTCATAAAAGCCCTCAATATCTCCTTAATTATTTTAAAAATCAAGGGTACTTAAAAGTAATTAATTTGGATTGAAAGTTCTTAATTTCCATTAATGGTACTTGAATAAAATAATTTAGCATTAAAAAAATAGTAAGCAAAAATATTTATGTGGATCATTGGCACGCTAGAAATTAAGAAGTAAAAACCTGATATTTCACATCAGCTATTCTAAGACATTTTGAAAATGATTTAAGTTTGACTGTCTATTAAATAGTACAAAATAGATAACTCAAAATATGATAAATATGTTTTAAGTCATTTTTATTTAATTTTCACAATTAAATATTTGTTTTCATTCTACGTCGTTATATCACATTGAGCATGTAAAATGCATAGTTATTGCCCAATCAGAATGAAAGAGATAAACACAGGTTATTCTAGAATTTCAACAGATTATGACAAAATTATGCCAATACAATTCAGCAAGACAATTTTAAATTTTTATGTCGTTTCTGAAAGATTTACTTTAAGGCTGTTTTTCAAAATTATCCAAATCTATCACTTAAAATAAATGTAAATTTTAAAAAATCTATAAGCAGACAAATGTACAACAAATTACATACTTGAGATTAGTAAGCACATAAATTTATCGATTAAAATTTTTGAAAGAAAAACCTTAAGTTTTAAAAGTTATAAAATACTATTACTCCCAACCTAATAAAGTAACATTTTCATTTTTTGCTTATTATTTATGTAGAAGGATAATCAATCATTAAATGTTATTTCAAACTAAATATTAAATAATTTAAAAAAAAAATTTCTTCTTCTAGAATTCAAAATTTCGTGGAAAGAATAAAAATTTTCTGTCACTAGCAATGTCACTGTTATTTTATGTACTTTTAATCAACCTGCTATGTATGCATGTAAAGAACTGCTGTTCTAGAAACTTTCAAAAGCCTTTTTTTTTAAAATAAGAATTGAGTTCAGTAATCTTTCAGTTTTATTTTGCAAATAAATGAGTTTTTAGATAACTAAAAAGTTTATTTTAACATCTAATTTATTTAAGATTTTTTTCCACATTATCATTTATATTCATATTTTATTATGTTTTTTAATATAATAAAATATTTATATACAGGTTTTTAAATCTTTTTTTTTTTTCGAAATTTTGTACAAAATATGAATTTAGAACCATAAAATGAATAAACAAATATCAAAACAAAGTTTACAATATATTATAAATTTTTTTTTTTTATTAAATTATAACGTGTGAGAAATTATAACAAAATGAGAATGAAATATTAAAAGAAAACAAAATTTCATTCCAGCAAATTCTTCCAAGATTTAAAAAGACAGTGAAGAATTACACCTGAAAAAAAAGAAAGAAGAGATGTACACATTAAAGCAGCAATGAATAAATTTCTTCAAAAATTAAAAACAATAACATACCTGTAGCCACTGAAACATTCAGGGAGTCAATTCCTTTATGCAAAGTGTGAGAGGGGTAAATTGAAATAAAAGTATTGCATAGTTCTTGGATGATAGGTGAAACTCCTCTTCCTTCATTGCCTGCAATCATTCAAATTTTTATAAATAACTTTTAAAAAGTAAAAACAAGCATGAGATTTATTTTCTTTCTTCCTTTCCTTTATTACTTGCCACTGTTTAGAATTTCTTAAAAAAAAATTTGGAATTTTTGTCACATTTTTAAGGATGCTGTAAAATAATCTCACAGATGAAAATTTTCCTTCTTACCCTTTAAAAACGTATATTAATTAGCTAAATAAAACATTAAATCCATAAATTGATAAAGAATGTGGTTAGGGGTTAAGGTTAGTAGACAGATAAGGTTGTGCACTTCCTGCGTTCATTTTTTACGCTTAAAATGACAACCCATATTATGACGTCACATACTTAACTCCAGAACCAAGCCATTGTTTTCTTTATTTGAAGTTACATTCTAGAATTTCATTAAAATATTTAAATGCAACTTCACAAAGCGATTTTTTACCATTGTTACTTTTTTTTTAATAATATATAGACAGGATATGGATGAAATATTTATTTAGTGATCTAATAACATGTTTTTATTGCTAGTTTAAAAAACAAATGCATGTTCATTAAATTCTAAATAGAAATATAGTATATTCAATAATGTTTATGCAGTTGTAGAATTATTTAAATAAAATGTCATATTTTGATTAACAATAAAGGCACATGTTATGCTAATTATAGAAAATATATAAATAGATTGTTTATCAAAAATTCTAATCACATACTTTAAAAATGAACTTCTGTTCAGCACTTAAATTAGGCATTCACAAATAGAAATTTGGATATTTCAAATATTATTAGTGCCTTCTAAGTCTTTTATATATATATATTTGTACCCAAACTTATAATAAATACTGCTTTTTTGGAAAACAATGAGAGCCACTAATCCTTTTGGTCTTTTGAACCAGTTCTTACCTGTTGCAACATCACATATATTGAATGGCACATTTATATATCTTGGGTAACCATAAATGGAACTTTTATTAATAACTACAAAAATCATGAACCTACTTAACTACTAAAAAGGACTTGTTATTTAAAAAATAAAATGCATTTAAGACAAATCCTAAGAATGCTTAAAACTTGAAACTCAAAAACCTTTGAAGGGTATCATTATCTACTTATCAAAATGAGAAGAAAGCTAACCTTGCAATAAAAAAGCATGTAAGAATAACAACATATGCGGTGTCACAAACTCTCTTCCTCCCCTCATTTACGAGAAAATTCAAACAGCATTTTTTTACAATTTAAATTATTTCAAACAGATTTTAGATATCATACACAAAAAACATGTAAAATTTATTGCTCTGAAAGAATATATGGATGTTAAATTTAGTAAATAATGAATCAATATCAAAAATTAATATGTTCAATTATGTTTTATATGCCCGGTGGCTGAGCATTAGCGCTTCGCGCTATCGTGCCACAGGTCCGTGGTTCGATCCTCGGGCCGGGCAAGGTTGACTCAGCTTTTCATCCCTTCAGTGGGTCGATAAATGAGTACCAAGCATGCTTGGGAACTAAACACTGGGGGTTCCGTGTTCGGCTGACCACCTGACCGGAACATCTGCTCCTGCACCTTAGAGCCCAAGCAGCCCAGAGTCAAGAAAACTGAGATGGGCACTGTAGGCCTTGGCCCTCTATGAGCTGTCGCGCCACTGAGTTTAGTTTTATAAAAGCACAATAAAATTATAAAAAACACTTTGTTATCAATATTCCACTATTTTTAATGTTTGAACGATTTAGAAATGGTTTATTTCCTGATCTGTTGGCTAGTTAGTGATATGTTAATATCATTGAAAATTTAAAAAACTTGTTGTAAATTATTATTATGAACTTTCATTTCATAGTTTTCTCCGAATTAGGCAGAATTTCAACAAAAATGTTGTTAGTTAATTAGCTGTACACAAATTTATATGTTGTTGTTATACATCCCCTTGGAGAAGGAAAGCCTAGACCAGGTCCAGAAGGTCGAGTCAGTTCCCCATATATCTGCAGAAAGTCCCGATCAACCAGCAGCTGCTTAAAAGAAGCGCCCAGGCAAAAAAGGTGATCAGGACTAGCAGGTTGGGAGCATGAACAAGGTTGGAAAGTCTTCTCCCCATTTTGAAACCTTAAACACTCAAGATGGCCACTACGAAATCTGGCCATGGCCGATTTGAAAGGCCGAGGGCAGCAGCATGTTAATGATAGGCCAGGGCTGTTGCCAGCATACCACTGATGGGATGGAGTGTGGCGCCACATTGGAAGCAAACGATGTTTTCTCAGGAAGTGGATCTCATTGGGAGTAAGACAGTTCAAACAGTCCATAGGAAGATCACAGCCATTCTTGGCAAGCAAATCGGCTGTCTCATTGCCATGTACCTTGACATGCGATGGGCAAATTTATATGAATCGCTATTAAAATGCATTATTGTAGTTTTTTTATTTTACATGTTTTCATTTTTTATTCAGATGAAAAATTGTTGTTTGATATTACAAAACTTTTATCTTCTCCCTTCAATTTGCCCTACTTATCTTAGACCAGGACATGAAATTTCAGTTCTAAAGGTACTAGTCAGACAAAAATTTTTGCTCTCCACTATTTTGTAACAATTATAAAAAGTCTGAACAATTAGTTTGAAAATCTTTTTGGTAACTGAAATAATAAAAGAATGTCGAAATATAAAAATCAAAACATATTGTATATTTCCAAATATAAGCGAAAAAAAAGTGTGGAAAATTTTTAAAAGCTAAAGGGGGGATGGAGAGCTCGGCTTAAAATTGGATTCACTAACTTCGAAAAATTCCAGGAGGACATTCCCAATAGAAATGCTTCTCCTTTTGTCAAGCATTAACTATATTCAGTAAATATCATGGAATGTACAGACAAAACATAAAATACATAAATTGAAAACAGAATACTTAAATGCAACAATTGGAAAAAAAAAAACGCATAAAAAGGATAATGCCAAAGGAATACTATTATTTTTTGATCTTCTAGCTAACCAATGTTTAAGTGAATGACAATATATAGACAATAAAAAAAAGAACACAATAAATTCCATATCAGAACCAGATTATTCGTAAGGAACACATGCCCAATAATGTCATCAAATGCCACTTAGAGCGTGTCCCAATTATGAACTGTTTTTTTTTCATGTAGTTTTGAACAGGAAACGCTCCTGGTCGAAATGACAACATTGTAATCCTATATAGTTTTAATCCTGATGATATGTCTCGACTCCCCTAAAAGTTTTTTCACATAGTTATTTGCTTCATTCTAAATTTTTCATGATAAAAAGATTAAGTGCAAAATTGTTATTTTTTAATAAGGAAGAAAAAAATATTTTGGGCAAAAGTAAAATAATTATAAAAAATACAGCCATGTTGATACTAAAACAAGTATAAATCAAAATGAACAAAAATTTTCTCCTTATTTTGAAGTTTGCTTTGAAAATAATTTATTAAAATATGAAATATTATAGGTCCACATGCCTAGAACTAGAATTGTAGGTTCTCTAAGTTTAAAGTCTAAAACATTTACTAATTTGTCACATTCTGTTCCATTATCATTATAAGCCTTTGTAGAAACTATTTTCCAATTCTGAGATATCATAACCTAAAAGTAAAAAAAGTAGTTAAGATTGTATACTGATAAAATGAATAAATACATGACACCTGTCCATGATTTCAAGCAAACAAGGAGATGATGCTAAAGCCATTCATTTTTACAAAATTGTTATAATATCATAATTATTGTGATTTATTAAAAAAAAACTCTGCCTTTCTATATAACACGGGAAGACCATTTCCAAAAAATAAGTTTTGCAAGAAATAAAGAGAACACCAATATCACATAACAGGAAGAGCTAATATAAACTTTGATGTAACACATTCCTGTTTTGGATTTAGGACTTTCTCGTGTCATAAAACGGTGTATTTGTTTAGACCAATTTTAAAATAGTACATATCATGGAGCAAACATACCCGGATTTGTTGCATACATCAGCACTAATAAAATGTAATGAAGAGTTTAAATCTTCATCCAACCTGATTCGTGTGTTCCTGTACCATGTACTTCATGTCATATACACACACGTTTTTTGTAATTATTTCAAGTCAATTATACAATGTTGAAAAGACACATTCCTGATTTTTTTTATAGATTAGAAAGCATTTTTCTAGATTTTAAGGTTTTGACATAATTTTATTCATCTCAAAGTCAAATAACAAGTTTTAATTTGGTTTTCCAAAACTATATTTAGTGAAAAAAAGTTCATAATATTTCCTTTAAACTAGCTTATTTAGTAAAAGGATTCAACATTCAGTAAAATTCCTAATATAATACGGAAAATGGTGTCTTTTTTAGTACACTGTAATGGAGTGTACACTTATAGCAAATGATTTTTTCACGGATTTAACGAAGAATAAAATTTTGGAAGCATACAATAACATTAGAATGAGGAATCAGAAATAATAATAAATTTTTTTTTGTTGTATTGTAACGAAGTATCATTAGTAACGAAGTATCTCAGGCAGTTTTTTGAAGCTGTATATATATAACTGATGAAAATATAACTGATGAAACATTAAATGAATCAAGCATTTCACAGGAAATGTTACACGAAACAAAAATATTTGAGTGATCAATATAATAATACACTTTCAACTCCCAATAATCTATCTATCTATCTATCTATCTAGTTTCTTCAGATTCAAGTTATTTTGAAAATCAACTGTATTAAGTTCATTGCAAAAAAAAAAAAGAAAAAAGAAGACTTGCTTATCTATGAACTATCAAAAGGATATGTTTTTACCAAAAGAGTTATTTTTTAATAATTAATTGTTTTCAAAAAAATAAAGTACAGTGGAACCTGTCTAAATTGACCACCCTCGGGACCAAGTCAAATGATCACTATATAGAGGTGGTCACTTTACAAAGACTATTTAAAAATTTGGAAA